TTTGTTCTATAATTGAAACAATGTTGCGGTCCTGCTGGCTGAAGCCTGGCTGGCTGAAAGCAGGTTTCTGGGGTTTTGTTTAGCTTCTATATTTGTAACAATGTTTCAAACTGCAATCTCAGAGGCCGGCAGCATCAGGCGGGGAACGTTGGCTTCGTCCATCAGTGGAGCAAGCAAGCCTCATGTTTGCTTCAAGCTGCCTGGCTGCCAGCCGCCATCTTTGTTGGCAGTTAATTTGCATATCGCCCTGATTAGCCAATGGGAAGGGTAGCAGAGGTATGGCTAATTACCATGTTTCTCTATTATTAGATAGGATTAGTGTTTTAAAAAATTTGCTGTGTGTGTATGCCTCCACATGTGCACACACAAGACATCTTTGTGGATGCTCTCAACATGGACTGCTTTTGTCGTTTTCAGATTAAGTTGCAACTTAATAGGCTGGCTTTTGGCTCTTCCTATATAAACAGAATCAATCGAATGGAGAATATTAAGTGGACACCAATTATTATTCCTCAATCAGTTTCTGTCAAACCTGTGTTGAATGGTTCCCTCATTCTTTTTGTCACTTCTTGTGCCATTTTATAACATTTATTTAATCTCCAGTCCTTTAAAATACAGTTCTTGACATCAGCATTATGGTGCATAAGATGTTTCCCTTTTTTATCTCCCATTTTATAACAATAAATTAGACACATATTCACAAACAAACGTGCTCCTCTGTGGGAATTTTGGGATCATGCCAAGGGATGTCAAAGCAGTCTCGCCCACCTGTTCATCTAGTAATAGGCAGAAGACTTCAGCATGGGCTATCAAACCAGCAAAGCCAGCAATTCTGCCCAAACCATCTTAGCATGGTTGGAAAAATACCTTTTTAATGTTCACCTGGGCAGATGCCCAAAGATGAGAGAGAATTTGCGGAAGTCCAGTCTTCTCAAGGGTAGATTGCAGCATGAATTTGGGGACATTGCATGGGTTGCACTATCAGATGGTGGCAATTTCTCCAGTGTGGAAAAGGTGAGAGGTTAGTGAGTGCCTGGCTACTCAAGTTGTGTGGGACATGGCTTGAGAAACACATTGCTTTCCAGCAGCACTCAGAGTACTGTGGCAGGACCTTCATGACCAGGGGGAAGGAAAATATGGGAAACAAGCAGAGAATAATATCAAAGGGTATTATAGAGATAAGAGTCCTGCTTATTTTGCTCAAACTTCAGCAGAAAGACCTTCCATGTCCCTCTGAGAGAACCTCACCTGAGGATCTCCCTTTTTCGGTCAACAGCTGCTAACAATGCTCCAAGTGCTAAGCTCAACACTCCACTTTACTGTGACCACCCCCCTTGTGTGCACTCTTGTGTTGAGCAGTGAGAGCTAATCTGGAAAATGTAGTGGAATCAGAAAAGCACACCAGGATCTGTGTGCAAGGGAGAAACCACACACAGGCTATAGCACCACCTTCTGGAAAACAAAAGAGAAGTTTCCAGTAGCCAGCCTGGTGTGTTGTAAGAACTAGAGATGACTTAAAAGTTTAAGAATTCTGCCACAGGGAGAACAAGCAGAGTAGAATAGGTGTACCTATAGAAAAGCAGAGAAAACCCAGATATAGCAGCACCAATAAGCAAGATAGCCCATCTGAAGGCACAAGTAAAGATTTAAGAATGTGGTTGCTACTTCAAATGAAAAGCAGGAATTCAAATCAAAGAAACACATCATCAGCAAAAAAAAACAAAAAAACAATAATTTTCTAATAACCTCACTTAAAGTCATGGAATTTTGTGACTTAGCTGACAAAAAATCAAAATAACTTTTTTTAAAAACTTAAGAAGCAACAAGACAACTCAGAAAGAAAATTTAACAAAATCAGGGGAAAATATGTGAACAAAATGAGATATTTACCAAAGAAATAGAAATCATTCTGAAATTGTGTAATTTAAATTTAATGAATTAAATAGTAAAGCAATAGAGAATCTTTGTTTCAGAGTAGAGCAAATAGGAGGTAGAATAAGTGAGTAAGAAGGCAGGACTTTTGAAATAATCCAATTTGCAAAGAATAAAGCAGAATGAAAAAGATCCAAGATAGTAGCAGAGTACCTAGAAGTTACACTCATCTCTTCCCAGTTTCAAACCAGAATTACCACTAAATTATAAAATAATCAGCCTTAATAGCCAACAGAAGATTATCTCAACAGATGACTTATAACTAAGATATAGTATAGAAGAAGCCACATTGAGACTAGTAGGAAGGGTAGAGACACAAAAAGGGCTGGCCCCTCCCAAGTGTGGTGTTTGAGAATCTGGAGGGATATAGGTACTCCATGAGAAGTAAGGTGTCTCAACCTGGTCAGCCTGGGCCTGTCGTGGTGCAGACACTCTCGGAAGGCTCTTGAAGAGGTCTGAGCAGATTCTGGATGGTGGATATGAATGGGGACAAACTGTGCTGTGTGGCTTTGGAATGAGGGCAATTTACCCCTTGCACATCCAACTGGCCCCACTGTTTTTGTGCAGAGCCCTCCATCCACATGACCAGATCTTGGTCTGTTTTAGCCAGATGATCTCTACTGGCCTCACCCTGAGGGCTTCCCAAGACCCTGTCCCATCACAAAGGTCCACTGACCCCTGGCAGGTGCCTCAGGTCTTGGTGTACCCTGAAATTTGCTGAGTGGCACCACAGCCAGCATAGGCACTGAGTTTGAATCTATATCAACATGCTGAATATCACTCGCCCCTACCTGGTTCTCACCGAGAACCTACCTAACTCAACTTGTGTATAGCCAGAGACTCTTTGAGTGACTGAGCCTAACAGGCCACTGGTAGATGGAGGAGGATATCAGGGTGGCTTGGGCCTTTTGTTGACCTGATCCTAGGTCCAGTGCTGGTGGGAGCCAGCTTCTGTACACAGCTTGGCCTCTCCCACATGCACCTAGGCTTAGAAGAGGCAGCCACAAGTTGTGGGTCCCTTATATCTTCAAACAGATAGCACAGGCCTGTTCACAAGAGGTGCCTGACATTGACCTGCATCAGAGTCACTCCCAAGAGGCCCCAGAACCAAGACACACATAATCAAAATGCCAAAGGTTAAAGACAAATATAGAATCTTATAAGTTATAAGAGAAAGACAATTAGTTACCTACCAGGGAGCTCCCATAAGGCTGTCAGCTGATTTCTCAACAGAACCATTTCAGGCCAGAAGGGATTGGCTCAAAATATTCAAAGTGATGAGAAGCAATGATCTATAACCAAGACTACTCTAGCCAGCAAGATCATAATTTAAAATGAAAGGGGAAATAGTTTCCCAGACATAAAAAAGCTAAAAGAATTTATCACAAACAA